ATTCAGGAAACAGTCAAGTTTATAAACAAAGTAAGAATTTATTTACAAACACTTAAGACTTGACAAATTGTTTAAACTATTATTTACTGTGAGTTGATGCAAACTAAAGGATAGTCTGGAACCTATGTGTGAATATAATGTATTGCGAATCTCTTTTCTCAGAGCTGAGTTCTGGATGGGAAGAATTTGGTTTGCAAATGAACTATAAAGATGTTATTATCAGAACCACATTCAGACACTATCTGTGTGTCCACTTTACCCGGATTAAGAGACCCTCTTGGTGGATCTGAAAGTGAGAGGTTGGATGACCGCTGGCACCGGAGGGCAGTAGAGGACCAATGTTCCAGTTCTTTCAGTCCGGAGATGTCTCTCGGGTCACGACAGATGGATAAAACTGAGCGTCTTAAAAATAACTCTAAAGGAGTTTGGAGTCAGCTTTGTTCTGCAGGAAAACTATGTTGTTGTTCAGCTTCGCAGGTGCGAAAAAGGTTTAAGGTTTTGACAACATGTCAAAATCCTTCTGGTTAGAGAGGTGCTAAAGATGGCCGGTCTGAAGGTCGCTAGGATGTGTCATAGCCAGGGTAAGTTGACCTGGCTGTGCATTTGACCTGTGGGATCTCAAAATCAGGCCATTTTGTGACATTACACTTTCTAGAGTCAAGTCAAGAATTGGGTTTCTATAGCAACAGGTCATCCTTTACTCATTCTGCAATGCAAACCTTGGTCAAAAGGACAATCCTTCTATCTTAGATTATGGTGACATCATTTATAGGACTGCTTAGAAAAATATTCTTCATAAACTTGATGTCATTTAACACTCAGCAACCTGTTTGGTCACTGGTGACACTAGTCAAAGTCAAGTCCAAGTAAAATTCTCTACTATATCCAATAGAGCATACAGAGAGACAAGATGACGTGGCTCCTGTTTCCTCATTGCAAAATAGAAGCTAATAAGCTAATAAATATAAGATAATGAGAAGAAGCTAATAAATTGATTTATAATTGCTTAGATTTAAAAAGATTTAAAGGGATTTAACAACTGGAATAAGATTGACCATACAAAAATTGTCAATAGCCCAAGTTGTTCATAAGACAGCAAAAATAAATTATCCATAGAGCAGCATGTCTTACAGGGACAGTGAAAGTGCAAATAAATGATTTACATGGGAGTGTGTGGGGGGAAGAGGGATCTCCGTTACTGAATTCAAGAGTGATGGCTTGTGAGAAAAAGCTATTCCGCAGTCTGGAGGATCGGGGCCCAACACAGCGATAGCGTCTGCCTGATGGAAGGAGAGAAAATAGTCCATGTGAGGGATGTGAGGAGTCACGCACAATGCAGGAGGCCTTACTGATGCAACGATTGTGGAAGATGTCCTGTAATATAGGGAGAGGTGTTCCAATGATGTTGGCAGCTGTTTTAACAATCCGTTGTAGGTTGCTGAGATCACCAACGTGGCAGTTGCTGAACCACATGAGAATACAGCTGGCCAGAATGCTCCCTATGGTGCCCCGTTAGAACATAGTGAGGATGGGAGGAGGGAGTTTTGCCCCTATTCAGGGATCTCAAGAAGTGGAGGCGCTGCTGGGCGTTTTTGGTAATGGAGATGATGTTAGTGGACCAGGTGAAGTCATCTGAGATGTGAACTCCCAGGAACTTGATACTGTTTACAGTTTCTACCATGGAACCACAGATGCTAAGTGGAATGTGGATGGACAGGATCTTCCTGAAATCGATGGTCATCTCCTTGGTTTTGTCCACATTCAAGTTGTTCTCGCTGCACCAGAGCACCAGCTGCTGAACTTAATCTCTGTACGCTGACTCGGCGTAGCTGCTGAGGAGTCCAACCACGTTTGAGTAGTCAGCAAACTTGATGATGTTGTTAAAATTGTGTAGGGTGGTGCAGTCGTGTCAGAAGAGTGAACAACAGTGGGCTGAGAACACAGCCCTGAGGAGCTCCTGTGCTCAGCCTACTAGTGCTGGAGATGTTATTACCGATTCGAACGGACAGGGACCTCTCTGACAGGAAATCTAGTACCCAGTTGCATAGAGAGGTACTCAGTCCCGACTCGTTGAGTTTGTCGAACAGTTCTGGGGGGATAATGGTGTTGAATGCTGAACTAAAGTCTATAAACAGCATTCTGACGTAAGCATCCTCTTTATCCAGGTGGGAGAGGGAAAGGTGAAGTGCAGTAGAAATAATATCCTCGGTCGACCTGTTTGACCGGTATGCAAACTGCAGTGGATCCAGTGAGCAAGGGAGGTTGCTCTTCACATGTGTCATGATAAGTCTCTCAAAGCACTTCATGATGATGGAGGTCAGGGCGATAGGACGGAAGTCATTCAACCAGGATACTGAGGACTTCTTTGGCACCGGGATGGTGGTGGTGGACTTGAAGCACGCTGGAACAATTGTCTGGCTCAGTGATGAATTAAAGATGTCAGTGAAGACATAAGCCAGCTGATAGCACAGTCTCAGAACCACGACCCAAAATGTTATCTGGTCCAGCAGCCTTGCATGGGTTGACCTTTGGTAAAAGTTCTCCTCACGTCGGCCACAGGCAGAGAGATGGTCTGGTCAGTAATAGAGAGCGTGTCTTTCTTCTCTTTTGTGTTGTTCAGTACATCAAACCGTGTGTAGAACTTGTTTAGCTTCTCAGGGAGTGTGGTATCTCTATCACAGCTGCTTGGTGCAGGATTGTACTGTACCCCGCCATAAACTGCTTGAGTCCTTTGTGTTGTGGAAGTGGCTTTGGATCTTTTTGCATGTGCATGCTTTGCATGTCGGATGGCGCGAGAGAGGTGGACTCTGGCTATTCTGAGAGCTGGTTTATCTCCAGACCAGAAAGCAGCATCTCTTTCTCTCTCAGATGTGCACATACTGCTCTCATTGACTCTCGTGGTGCACTCCTGAAGTGCTGAGACAGCCCCACTCGGCCAGACTGTGTGGGCACATGGCTGCCTTGTAGGCCCTGTGTACATTCGTGTAAACTTTATCCAGGCCACTCTTCTCTGTGGTTGGAAAGCTGACATGTTGGTGGAATTTGGTGAGGACTGTCCTGAGGATTGACTACTGTAATCCTTTGTATGCCAGTCTGAGCCAGAATGCAGTATCACGTCTTCAGCTGGTTCAGAACTCAGCGGCCAGGTTCCTCACGGGCACAAGAGGCAGGAAACACATTACGCCAGTGCTGGCGGCACTTCACTGGTTGCCGGTAAAGTTTGGTTTGAAAATCTTACCCTTGCTTACAGGTCTGCACATGGAACTGCACCTGTTTACCTGTCAGCATTAATACAAAGATACGTGAGGTTTGCATGGTTGACGTCACCAACCACAACAAGAAAAGCTTCTGGGTGTGCAGTCTGAAGCGCATAGATAGCTTGATTCAGCTCTGTTAGTGCTATATTAGCATTAGTATCTGGTGGAAGATAAACTGCTATAACAAGTATCAAGGAAAATTCTCTTGAGAGATAGAATGGGCGACAGCTGTGGTGAGCAGTGACGAGTCATTTCAGCTGAGTTCATGCACCTCCTCGTTTCCGAGAAGATGAGGATTCAACAGTTCTTTACTTCATGCTGGGTTGAATGCTGTAGCCACAGATAATCCATTTTCTTGTCCAGGGAGAAAACATTGGAGAGCATGATGGATGGAAGTGCCGGTCGGAACGGGTTAGCTTTTAGCCTAACGCCGGCACACTTTTGTTTATGTTCGCAGCGCTTGCATTTTGGCTGGATGAGTCTCCCTGCCTCGGCAGGGTGTGGGGGAGTTAGCAATCCCAGGTTCCATAGCTCCTCTAAAAGCGGACTTTTCACGGGGATCGTGCTATCTTTCCAGATTTCTAACAACGTTTGTATGTCCTGAGTAATCCACGTCATAACTAATTGGTGAAACTAAATCACGCACATTAAAAAATACGCCATAAAAACACTGAGTTTGCCGGAGCACTACCAGCCGCTGCCTGCTGGTGGCGCCACCAGCCTACTTAGTTGAAGAGGAGGAAGATCCAGCTCATGATCCTACTCATCATTGTGATCTGTACTCACTCGTTAACTGGCCATCACTCCATTCCTGCAGGATGTTACATCGGTATCAGTTCATATACAAAACAATCATCGGTAGAACCCATCATATCTTCTCTCATTACTCATCACTTCCAACAACCAGCACCATTTACGTTCCAGTAACTTCATCTCTATGGTTATTCCCAAAGCTTGCACCTCCTTTGGCTGCACCTCATTCCAGTTTGCTGCTTCCAACAACTGGAATGAGCTGCAGAAACCACTGAAGCTCACTACCTACATTCCATTATCTACGTTCAATAATTCATGGTGATCAATAGTTTCTGGTCACTGTTCCTGCTTCTGAGTACTTAAAGACTGTTTTAGGTGTGTTCTGATTGCTTGGACATATTATATATGAGAACAGTCCTTTGTCTTTATGTCTGACTGTTTTAGATAGATAGATAGATAGATAGATAGATAGATAGATAGATAGATAGATAGATAGATAGATAGATAGATAGATAGATAGATAGATAGATAGATAGATAGATAGATAGATAGATAGATAGATAGATAGACTATTGTCCACCTCGAATTGAGGCAGAAATTCGCCTTTGACATGGCTCACCTTACAATACAATCCATTTCACACAAATATATAAAAGACAATTAAAAGGTATTAAAATGTTATCATCGTAAATAAATAAATAAAACTTTAAGAATTCAAAATTGTAATTGCAGTGGGAACAAATGATTTCTTATAGACACCTTTCTTGGACAATGGAACTGTACCTCCTTCCTGATGGAAGTAGCTGAAAATGTGGGTTCAATGGATGGGTTGAGTCTGCACTGATTTATTCTACCTGTTGTTCTCTGATGAGAAGCTAACTATGTGTCTGTTGCTGCCTCTGGGCCAGATCCTCGTTGTAAATGAGAATGAGTTCTCCATCCACTCATAAAGGTTACATAAGAAATTAAAAAGTCTCTGTCCTCCTGCAGCTGTATCACCTGGCGTCTCAGTCCAAGAGTCTCAGTGGACACAAAGTCCAGTTTGTCTCTTTCCCATCGTCCCTCGCCTACAAACACAAGTTCATCTACAGGAGCCCGGAGCTGCCAAATATCCTCAGGTACCAACACTGGCCCGGCACAGGTTCTGATTGTGATAATGACATCATCATGATGTTCCTTTTGCTCTTTCAGGGATTTCCTTGGAGCAGCTCATCCTGTCACTGCATGACCAGACAACCTTTTAACGCCTCATTTAAACAAACATGACTTTTCTCACAGAACATTCCTAGCTTGATGGTTACCACAGTAACGGGATCTCTCTGACCTGCAGGACGTAGCAAAAACAGATTTTAGTTTTTCTGGCTGCCGGGCCGACGACTCTACATCGTTTTCATTATTTCTTGTGTTGTTTGATGCAATCAGGTGACTCGCCTGTCTGCAGATAGTTTGTATAAATTATGAATTATAAATTAAATCTTTGTTTTATGAAGCAGTCTGTTTTTTTACTGATAGATCAGCTGACACCACAGAAGAAGAGTTTTAGTCACATGACTGAGGCTTCAAGGTACATTTAAACAAAAAACACTGGAAGGTCCAGCCCCTTTCTTCAGGCTCCGCTCTATAGTTACAGAACCAAACCATGTCCCGCCGTTTCAGAATCACAAGACTTCACCGACGTGAGGAAACCCCATCACTACCCCCCCCCCCCCCCCCCCCACACACACACACACACACACACACACACACCCCAGACTGCACCTTCAGCGGAACATTTTAACTACATAGATCTAAAACATGTTGATCAGGTTTGTTGGGTTATTTTTAAATTCCTTAAACCTGAAATGAACACACACAAAGAGGAGGGAGGTCGTTTAACACTGTGTGGCCCGAACAGCGGAGGGAAGACATGGCACAAACCCCCTCCGGGTCTCCGTCATACCTTCTCTGCCCCGCAGTAAGTTTTATTGAAAGACAGGACGAAGAAGGCGGGGCCTTCTCGAGTTACAGAGTTACAGGCTCGTCTCCTAGGATACCAAGCACACACAAATAATGCACACACATCACATTCCTTAGACATTCAGGTGGAAAGCTGTTTAACGTAGGGAGTAAAAACAAGCCACATCTCCATCATACAGAACCAGGTGCATTCAGTCAATATTCTGTTTCTCATGGGAGTGTAACCCGATAACACAGAGCAGCGTGATCTGAGGAAGGTCGTTGTCCTCTCTGTTGAGACGGCAAAGCTGGCACAGGATAACACTTTGCATTTAATGAAGCAACAGGTGTTTTACTTAAAAGAAAGCAGTTATGATTTTAAGCAGTAATGTCAGCAAAACCACTTTTTCCCTATCATTCCTTGTTATGAGCGCTAAATGTTATTTTGCCGCTTCCGTGCAGAGCTGCAGGGAAACGCATTTCAAACACGGAACCGAGTCTGGTTATCGAACCGAGCAGAATTCTGATGACGTCACACCGGTGCGCGAAGGTGCGGGTTCCAACCCACAGGAGAGGAGGGAGAGAGGAGGTAAACAGCGAGTGGATCACAGGGACTGAACTGATGTTTTGGAGCAGAAGTGTACACCCACACCCCCACGGTTTAGACGCGGTGCTCATGCAGGTGTCTCTTCCGGTTCTGACGCTGCTACACGCAATATTTTTTATTTATTAAGCCTACAATTTATTTTTACCCAGTAACGGATATGATTTTAAATGTAGCGAATTACAATTCTTTTTTAAAAACTTACTCAAGTAAAAGTAAAAGTACAGATTTTAAAAACAACTAAAAAAGTACAAATATACAAAAAAGCTACTCAATTACAGTAAAGTGAGTAAATGTAATTCGTTACTTTCCACCTCTGATTACCATGGGGAGGTTGATTTGATATTCCCACAGATCTGGACATACATATTCATACTGCACTTAATCTATATGGTCTATTAGTGTCACGTTAAGGGGATGGTTAGGACCCAAAAATGCAGATACCCAGGATGACTTGAGGCAGGAGTTATGTAAAGAATAAATCCTTTTATTTGTAGGATGACAACAAAAATAAATGCAAAAGGCTGCGAGCCAAAAATCCAAAAGTCCTGGAGCACGACACCGAAAGCTCACTTAGAGCACAAAGTCTGGGGACGAGACAAAAGGCTCACACAGAACACCAGAAAACGCTGACATACAAAACAACAATGGACCGACAAGACAATGAGACAAGACAGGGCTTAAATACACTGGGGCATAATGGGAGGATGATGAGCTGCAGGTGTGAGGGGAGAGAACCAGGTGAAAGTGATAACTAATCAGGGAAGAGGAGCAGGAGAGGACACCAGACCTAACTGGGAAAGGACACACACACACACCTAGCTGGAGGAGGACATAAACACACACACACACCTAGCTGGAGGAGGACATAAACACACACACACCACACACAAAACTGGAATAATAGACCTAAGGAAATTATGGTGGGGAGACTGAAGGAACACAGGACCTGAGAGGGAATATCTGGAGGGCTGAAGACCAGGGGACACAAGAGGAACACAAAGAGACACAGACTATGACAAAACACACCCCCCCCCCCCCCCTCTAAGGGGCGGATACCAGACGCCCAAGACGAGAACAAGACAAACCACAAACAAAAGACAAAAACCAAACAGGATACCAAAAAACACAGGGAGGGAGAGGAGGGCCCAAACAAAAACAACCCACAAGGGCGGGCGAGGAAAGAGCAGGAGACTCAGAGGGATCGGCGACGGGGGACCAGGAGGCGGGACCAGGGAAGTCTCGGGCCGGCGACGGGGGACCAGGGAAGTCTCGGGGGGCCGGCGACGGGGAACCAGGAGGCGTGACCAGGGAAGTCTTGGGGGCCGGTGACGGGGAACCAGGAGGCGGGACCAGGGAAGTCTTGGGGGCCGGCGACGGGGAACCAGGAGGCGGGACCAGGGAAGTCTAGGGGGCCAGCGACGGGGAACCAGGAGGTGGGAACAGGAAACCCTGGGGATCGGGGGCTTTGGAGGAGGACGACGAGGAAGGGACTTCAGCAGACGAAGAAGGGTCTCTGGAGACAGGGACTGAGACTGGAACTCTGGAGACAGGGACTGAGACTGGAACACTTGGGACTCGAGAGACTGGAACACTTGGGACTCGAGAGACTAGAACACAGGGGACTCTTGAGACTGGAACACTTGAGACTGGAACACAGGGGACTCTTGAGACTGGAACACTTGAGACTGGGACAGACTGGAACACAGGGGACTCTTGAGACTGGGACACTTGAGACTGGAACACAGGGGACTCTTGAGACTGGAACACTTGAGACTGGAACACAGGGGACTCTTGAGACTGGAACACTTGAGACTGGAACACAGGGGACTCTTGAGACTGGGACACTAGAGACTGGGACACTGGGGACTGGAACACTTGTGGGGACTGGAACACTTGTGGAGACTGGAACACTTGTGGAGACTGGGACACTTGTGGGGACTGGAACATCGAGACTTGAGACGGGGACATCGAGACTTGAGACGGGGAGGCATCTACTTCAGAGCTGGAGCTGGAGACGTCTACTTCAGAGCTGGAGACGTCTACTTCAGAGCTGGAGACGTCTACTCCAGAGCTGGAGACGGGACGCGTCGACTTTGAGACAGGAGGCGTCGACTTCTGGTCTGGGGGCGTCGACTTCTGGCCTGGGGGTGTCGACTTCTGGCCTGGAGGCGTCGACCCTTGGACTGGAGGCGTCGACCCTTGGACTGAAGGCGTCGACCCTTGGCTTGGAGGCGTCGACCCTTGGCTTGGAGGCGTCGACCCTTGGCTTGGAGGCGTCGACCCTTGGCTTGGAGGTGTCGACCCTTGGACTGAAGGCGTCGACCCTTGGACTGGAGGCGTCGACCCTTGGACTGGAGGCGTCGACCCTTGGACTGGAGGGACCGGAGCCTCTCGGACGGGCTGGACCAGAGCCTCGTGGACGGGCTGGACGGAGCCTCGTGGAAGAGCTGGACCGGAGCCTCGTGGACAGGCTGGACCGGAGCCTCATGGAAGGGCTGGACCAGAGCCTCGTGGAAGGGCTAGACCGGAGCCTCGTGGAAGGGCTGGACCGGAGCTTTGTGGACGGGCTGGACCGGAGCCTGTGCGTCCTCCACTGCCGAAGCAGGATACGATGCATCCTCTTGGACCACCGCTGAGGCAGGATACAAAGATGGTAGAAGGAGTTCAGATGCGGGTCGCAGAGCAGGGGCCTCTTGGGTAGGCGGCACAGCTCTGGTGTCTGAGGATTTATTTAATTTAGTCCTGGGTTGCAGAGCAGGGGCCTCTAGAATAGGCGGCACAACTCTGGCCTCAGGAGACTGCTGGTGATGGCGGCGACGTCGACCTCGGGAGCGGCTCTTAGGAGGTGCAGAAATGACGCCGGCAACGCCAACTGGATCTGGTGAAGGTTTGGTGGTTCGGCCCATCTGAGAAACAGAGATGGCGCCGATTTCAGTCGAGGAGGAGGGGTTACAGCCCACCGGAGAAGATGCGGCGGCGCTGTTGTGACCAGATGAGGGTGTGGTGGTTGAGCCCATCTGAAATGCTGAGACAGCACCAACGTGGACAATGGAAAATGAGATGACTCCGGTTCTGACGGTCTGAGACGGGGAGGTGGCGCTGTCAGGACCAGGCGGAGATGTGGAGGTGTGGTGCTTCTTAGATGCAGAGAAGGCAGCTCTTACTACAGCGCTTGCTGACAGATTATAATCCTCAGAAAAGGAGGGAAACTGTGGGCTGCTGCAAGCATCCTGCAGATCCTCAGCGAAGTCCCAAAAAACTAACTCCTCAATAGGATTCTGATCTAAATAATGGCTGGCCCATTGCAGGGCTCTTCCCCTTAGGAGGAACACTGTGTTAATAATCAGGTCCATGTCCAACATGTCCGTATCATAAAATCTCACCAAGTCCAATAAAAAAGTCCTACAGGAGTCTGGGTCACCTTGAAAAGGGTACATCCGGGTCCGCTGGGTCCTGGTTGGTCGGTCCATTTCTGTTACGTTAAGGGGATGGTTAGGACCCAAAAATGCAGATACCCAGGATGACTCGAGGCAGGAGTTGATGTAAAGAATAAATCCTTTTATTTGTAGGATGACAACAAAAATAAATCCAAAAGGCTGCAAATCAAAAATCCAAAAGTCCTGGAGCACAGGACACCGAAAGCTCACTTAGAGCACAAAGTCTGGGGACGAGACAAAAGGCTCACACAGAGCACCAGAAAACGTTGACATACAATACAACAATGGACCGACAAGACACTGAGACAAGACAGGGCTTAAATACACTGAGGCATAATGGGAGGATGATGAGCTGCAGGTGTGAGGGGAGAGAACCAGGTGAAAGTGATAACTAATCAGGGAAGAGGAGCAGGAGAGGACACCAGACCTAACTGGGAAAGGACACACACACACACCTAGCTGGAGGAGGACATAAACACACACACACACCTAGCTGGAGGAGGACATAAA